ATGATGGCTGGTAGACGCAAGCAGGGGCTTTGAGACCATTATGAAGACCTGGACTTCTGCCTGAATGAGGTAGAGAGCCACTAGTTGTAAAACGCTCTTTTTAGCAGCAGGTCAATAATAAATGGTAAGGAGCCAAGGTCAGAAGCAAAGAGCCCAGTTAAGTGGTTATTGCAATAACCCAGTTGTTCACATAATAACTCCTGGGGCAGGGAGCCCCCGGAGCTGATTAATTTCCTGGCTGGAGAACAGCATGGAGGACTCAGATTCTCTCTGTCCTCCTACTTTGCTGTCCTCGGGCTGTCAGCTTTGTCCCAAAACAACCACAGCCATTCTGGGCATCACACTCAGACACAACAATATCCAGTGAAAGGATATTGGTCTTTTAAAAACAAAAACAAAAACAAGAAATCTGTTTTCCCTAGATGTCCCCAGCAAATTTCTTTAGATATCCCCTTGGCCTCAGTCTGAGTCATATGGCCACCTCTAAACCAACATTGACGAGGAGAGTGGGATTAGACTAGATGGTTTACACAAGTTAGGTTTGCATCTGAGCTTGATGTAGCATCTCTGAGGGAAGGACACACAAAAATATCTGGCCTCTGCAGCAAGGAACGGGGAGTCCAGCAACAGTCAAGTCAACTACAGGAAGAAGAGGCAGGTGTGGATTAACCAATTCCGTAGCTCCCTCTGGGCAAAGGGTAGAGAGGTTCATTGGCTTGTTCTTTGTAGAACATTTGGCTCAGGCAAGTCCGACGGCCACGCTTCCCTGGACTGAAGCTGGGGGTTCCCTGAAGCTGGGGGTTGGGGTGTGTGAGATGACTTACCTTTTGTTTTCTTTTCATGTTACTAATTAAGCAGATTTAGCATCATCCCACTTTTTGCCTATGTAATTTTTTAACGAAATTTAAAAGCTAAAAATAAATAATTAAGCACGTGGGCACTGAGGGGTGGTTCTCAGTTCTGTGCTCAAGGTCTCAGGTAAGTGTCATGTCTTTTTCTTCAGCATGTTTATTTTTAATTTATTAGGTAGAGCTTTTTTTTTTAAAAAAAAAAAAGAGTGTAGCTACCTTTATAATAGTATGGTTAGGGGTAAGAATATTGAATTTCATTCATCCATTTATTCAGTAAATATGTATTGGGCACTAGGTGTTGGAAACAGCAGCCCTTGAAATAGCCAAGGTCTCTAGTGTTATGGAGTTCACGTTCTAGAAGGTGAGATGGACAATAAAAAAAGAAAACTTACAAAGACACAAGGTGATTTCAGATGGTGACATACACTATGAAATATATAAAATGTAGTAATGTGGCAGTGGCTGAGTGAGGGGAGGGGACGGGGGCACGGGCGTGCCTCATTTTATGGTGCTTTGTTTTATTGCACTTCACAGATTTTGCAGTTTTTTTACAAATTCAAGGTTTTTGGCAACCCTGTGTCAAACAAGTCTATTGGTGCCATTTTTCCAATGGCATTTGCTCACTTTGTGTCTCTGTATCACATTTGGTAATTCTCACAGTATTTCAAACTTTTTTTGGTTATTGTTGTATTTGTTATGGGGATCCGAGAGCCGTGATCTTTGATGTTACTATTGTAATTGTTTTGGAGCGCCATGAACCCCGCCCATATAAGATGGTGAACTTTATGGATAAATGCTGTGCGTTCTGACTGTTCCACCAACCAGCCATTCCCAGTCTCTCTGCCTCTCCTCAGGACTCCCTATTCCCTGAGACACAACAATATTGAAATTAGGCCAGTTAATAGCCTTACAATGGCCTGTAAGTGTTCAAGTAAGAGTCACGTGTCTCACTAAAAGCTAGTGTCTTACTGTCTTCACTAAGGTGAAGAAGGCATATCAAAAGCCGAGACAGTCTGAAAGCTAGGCCTCTTATGCCAAACTGTTAGCCAAGCTGTGAATGCAAAGGAAAAGTTCTTGAAGGAAATTAAATGTGCTACTCCAGTGAACACAGGAATGAGAAGAGAGCGAAACAGCCTTATGGAGATATGGAGAAAGTTTTAGTGGTCTAGATAGAAGATCAAACCAGCCACAACATTGCCTTAAGCCAAAGCTTAATCCAGAACAATGCCCTAACTCTCTTCAATTCTTTGAAGACTGAGAGAAGTCAGAAAGCTGCAGAAGAAATGTTTGAAGCAAGCAGAGGTTGGTTCACAACGTTTAAGGAAAGAAGCCGTCTCCATAACAGAAAAGTGCAGGTGAAGCAGCAAGTGCTGATGTAGAAGCTGCAGCAGGCTACCCAGAAGGTCTAGCTGAGATCACTAATGAAGGGGCTACACTGAACAACAGATGTTCAATGTAGATGAAACAGTCTTATATTGGAAGAAGATGTCATCTAGGACTTTATAGCTAGAGAGAAGTCACCGTCTGGCTTCAAAGCTTCAAAGGAGAGGCTGACTCTCTTGGTAGGAGCTAGTGCAGCTGGTGACTCTAAGTTGAACCCAAGGCTCATTTACCATTCTGAAAATCCTAGGGCCCTTAAAAATTATGTTAAAACTACTGTGCCTGTGCTCTATAAATGGAACAACAAAGCCTGGATGACAGCACATCTATTTACCACATGGTTTACCAAATATTTTAAGCCCACTGTTGAGACCTGCTGCTCAGAATAAAAGATTCCTTTCAAAATATTACTGCTCATTGACAATGCGCCTGGTCACCCAAGAGCTCTGATGGAGATGTGCAATGAGGTTAATGTTGTTTTCATGCTGCTAACACAGCATCCATTCTGCAGCCCATGGATCAAGGAGTAATTACAACTTTTAAGTCTTATTATTTAAGAAATACATTTCATAAGGCTATAGCTGCCATAGATAGTGATTCCTCTGATGGATCTGGGCAAAGTAAGTTGAAAACTTTCTGGAAAGGATTCACCATTCTAGATTCCGTTACGAACATTCGTGATTCATGGGAAGAGGTCAAAATACCAACATCAGCAGGAGTTTGAAAGAATTTGATTCCAACCCTCATGGATGACTGAGGGGATCAAGACTTCAGTGTAGGAAGTAACTGCAGATGTGATGGTGACAGCAAGAGAACTAGAATTAGAAGTGGAGCCTGAAGATGTGACTGAATTGTGGCACTCTCGTGATACAATTTAGTGGATGAGGAGTTGCTGCTTATGGATGAGCAGACAAAGTGGTTTCTTGAGATGGAATCTACTCCTGATGAAGATGCTGTGAAGATTGGTGAAGTGAAAACAAAGGATTTAGAATATTCCATAAACTTAGTTGATAAGGCAGTGGCAGGATTTGAGAGGATTGACTCCAATTTTGAAAGAAGTTCTACTGTGGGTAAAATGCCATCAAACAGCATCACATGCTACAGAGAAATTGTTCATGAAAGGAAGAGTCAACCGATGCAGCAAACTTCATTGTGGTCTTATTTAATGAAATTGCTACAGTCGTTGTAAGCTTCAGCCACCACCACCCTGATGAGCAGCAGCCATCAACATTGAGGCCTGACCTTCCACCAGCAAAAAGATTATGACTCGCTGAAGGCTCAGATGATGGTAAGCATTTTTAAGCAATAAAGTATTTTTTAATTAAGGTATGTACTTGTTTTTTTTAGATATAATGCTATTGCACACTTAATACATTACCATATAGTGTAAACATAACTTTTATTGCACTGGGAAACCAAACAATTCATGTGACTTGCTTTATTGCAATATTTGCTTTATTGTGGCGGTCTGGAACTGAACCTGCACCGTCTCTAAGGTGTGCCTGTACTACTTTGGACAGTTGTTTTGTGGAGGATTTTCTAAAGAGGTGACATTTGAGTTAATATCCAAATAGTGAGTAGATGCTAGGGTCAAGAGACTTGTGGGAATAGTGTTTAGACACAGGGAACAGTGAGTACAAAGGCCCTGAGGCAGAAGCAATCTTGGCATGACCAGAAGGAAGGCCAGGATTACTGAAGTGGTGAGTGGGGGAAAGAGTCTGTGATGAGGTTGCAGAGGGAAGCAGAGGCAGGTTCACGTGAGGCCTTGCAAACAACAGTGAGTAATTTGTGTTTCATTCTGGGTACAATGGAAAGCGATTTGAGGATTTTATGCACGGGAATACCCTGATGTTTTAGAACTAATGTAGAATGGAAAACTGGTAATTTGACACTTAAAAGCCTAGGACATTACATCTCAGTGGGAACTTGAGTAACATAGCCTTCCTAGGATTGTACTGTGAAAAGTAAACCTCATCTTTAAACTCGGACGTTTTTGTTGTTTGTTTTGTTTTTGCTTCCAACCTAGAGGTCTTCATACCTCACCTCTCATAGTAAAGTACTGGCTGTGGTCTGGAGCTCACTGTGGGATCTTTGCCTAGGACCACAATAGAAACTTGTAAAATTTTCATTTTAGATAGTGTCCAGAGATTGATCTTCAAGGCGTTGTTGAGATCACTTAAATTCGGGAGCCTATAGAACTGACAGTGTCCTTTCAGTTTTCAGTCTGAGGAATGTAAGATCTCTTTTTGTTTATTTTACTCTTTACTACGTATGGTATTTTCAAAATTTTGTCAGCTGATTTTTTTGATTTGTTTTTCTTTTTTGAGGAAGATTGGCCCTGAGCTAACATCCGTGCCCATGTTCCTTTATTTTATATGTGGGACACCTACCACAGCATGGCTTGATAAGCGGTGTGTAGGTCCGCACCTGGGATCCGAACTGGCAAGCCCCAGGCCCTGGAAGCTGAGCACATGAACTCAATCGCTACACTGCCAGGCCATCCCCTGTCAGCTGGTTTTTAAGAATCATTATTACCTGTTGTTTCAGGAGTGATTCTTCTGATTATGATTTAAAGCAATCTTTCCCCAAATTAAGGCACAAGTCATTTCTCAGTGTGTGCTTCTTCCTCTACCCCGTTCATCGAGTGCACCAGGCAATTTCAGTGCTGACAGGTGTAGACAAACAATATTCAAGCAGTGAGGATTTCCAAATATTAATATTAAATACCTATTTTCCGAGGAAAACTGATGGTAATTTTCTACCACTTACCATTCACACTTGCTTCAGAATTTCCCTTCTTGCTCTTTGTTAGTCTGTGGTTCAGGGAAAGTGCAGCGTCTCCTCAGACGCACCTGAGAGGGAATTGTTTTAGTAAGTAATTTATAGCTTGCTGAAGGTAAGCTGCCTTTTAAAATTACTGTCATTTAATAGCAACTTAAACTGGTTCATGAAACTAAAACTGAAAAAATAATTCACCAGCTTCATTCAAAAAAATTTTAAAAACCCAAGTACTACTTTTTAAATACTTACATTTCTTTTCACAGAAACTGATACTCTTTGTGACCCCGGTAGAAACCCGAGGGCGTTGGGAAGATCTCACCTGACACAGTTAAGAGCATGAACCATCTGGGTTTGAATCCCACAGTACTTTCTGGGTCACTTTGAACAGATGACATACCTTCTTTTCATTTAACTTTACTCCCCTCCTCTGTAAAATGGGGCAAATAATAGTTTCTCCTTCATAGGCTTGTCGAGAGCATTAAATCAAATAATTCACATAAAGCAGGGAACGTGACACAGAGTAAATGCTAATTAAGTGTTAGCTGTTATGCTGATGAAAGCACAGATCGCAAAAAAATAAAAATAACCTGTCATCCTGCCACCCAGATCATTATTTATTTTTAATGTTTAATATTTGATAAGTTTGATAAACTTGTTTCAAAATGAGTTTAAAATGTCCATCAGACCCATGTGTTGACTAAAAGGATTACTTGTACCTAGGTGCGAAGACATGCCTCATCTTTGGGAAGAACAGTAAATATCTATAGAAGATTCTAGGCTCAGGTTCTACCAAGATAATGTCAAAGCAGTTGAAAGAAAATTATAGATGGCTAATTGCCTCTATATCATCAACAACCATGAACAATTAATAAACACTCCTTACTCCTAATCAAAGTATTGTTTCTCCACATGATGTTAGTGAGCACATAGGTAACTGTGGGATTCGAACATGAAGGTTCATAGCATATTGGAGTTTGAAAGAAACCGGAAGTTCATTTCTAATCTCTCCATTTTCTAGATGTAGGGCCTGGGGAGCAGAAAGGAAAAGGGACACGAGCAAAGCTGCAAGTTTATTCTTCCACTTAATGTCATTACCAATGAACGTCTCCACCACTCAGGTGTCCCTGTGACATGATGGGGTTAGATTAGCTCTCTGATATCCTTTCCAGTTAAAAACCACCGTGAACCAGTGGTCCCTGACCTCTGGCCACCAAATACCTGTTAGATAGATTTTTCTATTCCATTTTATCAACCAGTTGTTTTCTTTCACCTAGATGCTGAAATACTTGCTTCTTGCCTACAAATAGATGCCAAAGATGGAAGAAAGGCAGAAGTCCCTCTGCAGTCTTTTGGCTGACACCCAGGTTAATCCCATCAGTAGTGCAGCTCAGCGCTCTGTGTTTGGCTCCAGATGAAGTCTGGGTCCCTTGGCCTTCTTTGAAGCATGCCATATAAACCACTGACATGTAAACCCGACTTCTCATGGACGAGTGAGACTTGACAATGGGAAAAAATCATGACTAGAATGGCTTTCCAGAAGTCCAACGAAGACATTAGGACAAGGGCCATGTTGATTCTGTTTGGCTGATACAGTCCCCCACACTTACTGAAAATTAGATAAACTTGGCATTGGATAAAAATTGTAGCCAGCACCAGGCACATACAACATTCCAGGTGTTGGGCTCTTGGTCTGTCAGGTACTTTCTAAGATCTCACTTCTTAGTAGAGACAGCATGACACAGAGGAGCAGGGGCTCCAGAAATGTGCACCTAGGTTTGCATTCCAGCTGTGAACTCTGAGTATGGCATTTAATCTATCTGTGCCTCAGTTTCCTCATCTATAACATAAGGATAATAATTGAAGTTACTTCAACTGCCCTTGCGAGTATTTACAACACAGCATGGAATATTGTCAGCATTCAATAAATGCTTGCTATCTCATTATTAGTATTAGGACTAATTTAATCATCATACCAGCTCTGTGAAGGAGGTATTCTAATACCTGGGTTTTGGCTGAAGAAATTGAGATTCAAAGATCTTAAATGATTCAATGATTCCTCCAAAGCTATTGTTAGTAACCAGAAGACCTATGATTTAAACCAAGAAGGTAAATACTCAAGTGAACTAAGAATGCTTATATGTGGTGGTTCAGAGAGCAGGCTGTGGAGTCAGGAAGCTGGGTTTGAATCTTGGCTGTTATTACTAGTTGTGTGCCCTTGAGTAAGTTATTCTGAACCTTGACATACTGAGAATAATAGATCCTATACCATAAGGATGTTGTAAGTCTTAAGTGTGATAATACCTGTTAGCAGTTGGTTCAGAGACCCGCACTCAGAAGAAACCCCATTAACATTCTTTCATTTTTTGTTACTAGTAGCAGTGGCCTTAGTCAACTCCAGTTACTTCCTCCAAAAGCCCACCCAAACAGCTTAGAGTCATCCCTGATTCTGCTTTCCTAACTTCCCTCAACGCACAGGCTCATCTGTTCTAAGTCCTGTCATTCTTCCTCCCTCAATATCTCAGATATCTTGCATCCCTTGTCCCCTCTTCAACCCCATTGCCACTGTCCTAGTTTAGATGCCATCTTCTCTTTTATGGATGCTGAAGCAGCCTCCGTGGTTTTCTCCATCCTCCTTCTCGTCTTGACCCCCTCCAGTCTGTTCTTCACACTGTACCTACAGTAGTATTTCTAGTGTGCACACGTCACTTGCATCCCTAAAACCTTCAAAGGGCTTCGTTGTTCTTGGAATACTCCTGGCCTCACTCACTGTTTGCCTTCATGTACTCTGCGCTCCCTGGTATTCCCTGTCACACCATAGTCCCTCACCTCCAGCACTTCACCCATGCTCTCCCCTTTGCCAGAAATATTGCTCACCCTCTCTTTGCCTGGCAAACCCCTACTCATCATTCAGGTCCCAGCTTTGGTTTCACTTTTCCTATAAGCCTTCCCTAACCCTGAACTCCAAGCTTGGGGGCTCTTCTAGGAGGTCCTGAATGTTATCTCTCATAGCACTTGCCAGATGCACTATAATTTTCATACTCTTTGTATGTCTTCTCTGCTAGACCATAATCACCATGAAGGCAGGGCTGTATCTAATGTGTCTACTACAACTACTTGCTTACTACAACTAGAAGTTGTATAAGCATCCCTGGTGCCCAACACAGTATCTGGCATATACGGGTACTAAACAAGTATTTATTAAATAAATGCTTGCATGAATGAACAAACACCAGCCTTCCGACCAGCAAAGACCAAAAAGACAGGAGACTCTAAGAATATTCATTCTATGGCTATTGTTAAAAGATAAGAGATAAGAAGTGTTGGAGGGTGTGGAGAAAAGACAACCCTTGTACAGTGCTTGTGGGAATGTAAATCGGTATAGCTACTATAGAAAATAGTATGGAGATTCATCAAAAAATAGAACTACTATATCATACAGCTATTCCACTTATGGGTATTTATCTAAAGGACACAAAAACACTAATTCGAAAAGATATGTGCACTCCTATATTCGTTGCAGCGTTATTCACAATAGCCAAGACTTGGAAACAACCTACATGCCATTGATAGAGGAACGGATAAAGAAGATGTGATATATATATGTGTGTATATATATATATATATACACACACACAATGGAATAGTACCCAGCTATAAAAAAGATGAAATCTTGCCATTTGTGACAACATGGATGAAACTTTATAGTATTATGCTAGGCCAAGTGAGTCAGATGGAGAAAGACAAATACGATATGATTTCGCTCATATGTGGGAGATAAAAATAAATAAAAAACAAAGACATAGGTACAGAGAGCAGATTGGTGGTTACCAGAGGGGAAGGGAGGTGGGTGGAGAGTAAAAGGGGTAAAGGGACACAGTGACAGATAGAAACTAGACTTTTGGTGGTAAATATGATGCAATCTATATAGAAGCCAAAATATAATGATGCACACATGAAATTTATATAATGTTAAAAGTTACCTCAAATAAATAAATAAATAAAATCCATTCCAGTGGCAAGAGTGACATTTCTTACTGCTGAGTTCAGCTCCCATCAGTGAACTTGGTTGACGGGATTCCTCCATATTTAAATTAGCTATTGCAGAGTAGAACTGCCATTTTTCAATGCGCCAGTATTAATGGTTGCCTAAAGACCCAGGTTAGACCAAATGGCAACAACATTATATTTTTAAATTTTCAAAATGCTTTTACAAATATTGTTTCATAGGCTTTATATACCAGATCTGTGGGAGAGTGAGGTGAGGAAACTAACACATGAAGAATTACACTTAGAACTTAGTTCTCCTTACTTCTAATCATTGTGTTACTTGCCCACACTACGTTGCCTTACGTACAATTGATGCAGCCATTACCTCAGCCCTGGTCTCTGATGTTGAATTATTGTAAAGCAGTGATTTTCAACAAGTGGGGGGCGGGGCGGGAATTTTGTCCCCCAGGGAATATTCAGCAATGTCTGGAGATGGTTTTTTTCCTGCTTTTTCTCTCCAAATACCCCCAGTACATAGTTGTATATTTTAGTTGTGGGTCCTTCTAGTTGTGGCATGTGGGATGCCACCTCAGCATGGCTTGACGAGCGGTGCCATGTCCGTACCAAGGATCCAAACCAGCGAAACCCTGGGCCACCGAAGCGGAGCCCACAAACTTAACCACTTAGCCACAGGGCTGCCCCCTGGAGACATTTTTTACTGTCACAACTGTGTGCGGGGGGGGGGGGGGGGGGGGGGCGGGGCGGCGGCAGAGCAGATGCTGCTAGTGGCATCTGGTGGGTAGAGGCCAGGGATGCTGCTTAACCTCCTACAAGTCACAGGACAGCCTACTGTCCTTCACACTTCCCACCCTAGCCCCATTCTAACCAACAGCAAAGAATTATCTAGGCCCAAAAGTCAATAGTGCAGAAGCTAGGAAACCCTGCTGTAAAGCAAAGCTCATAGACTGAAACGACAAAGAGGAGCAAAAGTGGGTAGATCTCTCTAGATGTAGAGACACTAGTCAGTACACAGCCTGTTTAAAGGCGTGAAGTTTGAATTAAAAAACAAAATACTCTGCAGGCCATAGAGAACTCTTCTAGCGGCTGCATGTGCAGTGGCACACTCCCTGGGGAACGTCTTCGCTGGATGAGTGAGTCCTGCCCCATACTTTACAACAGGTAGAACATTTTCCCCCCTGCTGCCTCCTGAAAGATGTTCTATTATGGCCTCTCCAAATCAAGGGAAAACTTGGGTTAAAAGTGTCCAGAGAAGGCATTACACCTGATCACTCAAATGCCTTTTCTTGGATCTCTAAAGGGTGGCCTGAGCGCCAGAAAACTACAATCTGGCCGCCTGGATTCATGCACAGGGTTGCCTTAAAATCCTCTAATGTTCTCATCTGTCCAAAAGGAAATAGTGCTGCTGAACACTGGAGAATAAGGCCAAAATAGATGTCATAGTCAGAGATATCCTTAAAAATACATTATTATCTCAGCATATGGATTCATTTTCAAATTGTTCATGGTTTAGTTAAAACCCAGAGATGTGCAGGAGGACAGCAGACGAGACATTTCCTTTTGAGGAACTGGAAATACATTCTGGATTCACTCTGGAGTGCCTTCTTCTTGACAAGGCTTTGAGGCGTTATACACACTGAACAATTGGGCTGTTCTTTGTCCAGCTTGGACAATGGAGTGTGGAGTCCGCTATGGCCAAATGAGAGCTAGTTCGTGCATAGCCCAAACATAAAAGTTGGAATCTGTTTTGTATATTTAAAATATGTTTTACAATTCCATTAATTTAGAGTAAGCAGGGAAAAGAGTGAATCTGAGTGGTGAATAACTATATAGTAAAAATTTAAAGAAATGTAATATTATTTTCATATTCATGAAGTAGCATCAAGAAACAACTTACAAGGTGTTATACAGACTGACTAATAAACAGAAGTACTCACTACTCCCCAAATAATTCTTGAGATTCCCTACTTCAAACTATGGCTCTAATTATTACTTCCTACTAGAATGTTCTTCCCACTTACATCTCCACAGATTCAAATTCTCCCTGTTCAAAGCCTATCTCAAATGCCACCACCTCCAGGAAGTCTTCTTGGAATCTGACCTAATGTCCCAAATAAGCTTGAGAGTTTCCTACTCTGCACTGTCTGTTACTCCTTTATCACCCCTCTGTAATATATTCTTATTTTTCATTTTTTTAAAATTTCTCACCTCCGTACTCACCTTTACAATTTGTACCTTATATGTTCCTCTACTCCCACAGTCCTTAGCGCTGTGTCTTGGAAATAGTAAACCTTCAGTGCATATTGAATCTCTGGAGGCATTGATCAGTAGGTGTGTGCATTTGGTTTGATTCTCCCCACATCATCACGCTAGTCATTAGCAAACACTTTCTCTCAAATAGGTCAGAAGTAAATTGACCAGTCCTGATCAAATGCCCAGAAGTTCCAAATCAGTAGACAAAGAAGTTCAGTCAAATTCTAGGTGTTCTGTCCTACACTAGACTACAGGGGAGGGAATGTCAAGTTCATGTAGCCCAGGAAGTGGCCCAGCATCCAGACAGCATGGGGATAGGAGTGAGAAGTCTGCGTTGGAATCTTAGCTCCTCCACTTCCTTGCACTTGGCAAGTTATTTAACATCTCTGTTAAATTTACTCATGCATGAACAGGTAATAACATTTACTTTAGTTTAAGTATTTCAAGAGGATTAAACGAGACCTTCTAGGTACAGTGGTTAGCGGAGTAACTGGATCTAGTAAGGACTCAGATGTGGTGGTTGCTGTAATTACTACTGTTATCATCCTCTGTTAAAATCAAGTCAGGGGCCGGCCCAGTGGTGCAGCAGTTAAGTTCTCACGTTCCACTTCGGTGGGCTGGGGTTCACCGCTTAGGATCCTGGGTGCGGACATGGCACCGCTTGGCAAGCCATGCTGTAGTAGGCGTCCCACATGGAAAGTAGAGGAAGATGGGCAAGGATGTTAGCTCAGGGCCAGTCTTCCTCAGCAAAAAGAGGAGGATTGACAGCAGTTAGCTCAGGGCTAATCTTCCTCAAAAACTAGCTAAATAAATAAATAAAATAAAGTCATATTTCTATGGCTTAGAATTTTAAAAAAACATATTACATACTTGCTCTGACATCTCTTTATAAATTAGAAGTGATTTGCCTACTTTTTGTAGGTTCTATGAGAGTTAGTATTTAAAATTCAGAGGGAAATGTGCTTGGCTTTATTATGCTTTTCATTCTACAGTCTTTTTGATGAGAGCCAAAATCTTCCATTGTAACCCACTAGGTTTTGTGTTTCTTCCTTTGCTGCATGGTAGCATCTGCTCTAAATTGAGCCTGTCCTCCATCTTCAAAGTCCTCTTTAGTCTTATCTGTAGCTGCCTGCCTCTCACTTGCTTTAGTCACATGCCAAGAGAGCTGGCTGAGCCAGTGGTCCAGACTGCCAATCAAACACGTGAATCAAGACTTCTCGTCTGTGTCTGGGGGGTGCAACGGTGAGCAAGACAACACAAACTGTGCCCCCACCGACCGTATAGTAAAGCAGTGGAACACACACTAAACAAATTATTATTTTAAAATAATTAAATAGTTAATTAAATTAGAAGAGGCAACTGCTCTGAAGGTTAATTGCAGGCTACAGTGGGCTGAATGACAGAACCAAAATCATGTTTTGGTCAGCAACTTGTCTTTTAGGGATCAGCTGAAATGTCAGCTCCTCAGAGAAGCCTTCCCAGACCATCCAGACAGAGCAGTTACTCTCTACTACATCCGCCATTTTTTTCTTCATTCTACCTTTTTTTAATTGAGGTATATTTGGCACACAACGTTATACTAGTTTCAGATGGACAACATAATGACTCAATATTTGTGCACACAATCACCACGATAAATCGAGTTAACATCCATCATCATACATAGTTACAAGATTTTTTTCTTACCATGAGAACTTTTAGGATTTTCCTTAGCAACTTTCAAATATGAAATACATAATTATTAACTATAGTCACCATGCTGTACGTTGCATCCCCATTACTTATTTATTTCATAAGAGTAGGCTTGTACCTGTTGACCCCCTTCACCTATTTTATCTACGCCCTGCCCCTGCCTCTGGCAATCACCAATCTGTGCTCTGTATCTGTGAGCTTGGGGGGTTTTGTTTGTTTGTTTATATTCCACATATAAGTGAGATCATATGGTGTTTGTCTTTCTCTGTCTGACATTTCACTTAGCATAATGCCCTCAAGTTCCATCCATGTAGTTACAAACGGTAAGATTTCCTTCTTTTTTATGGATGAGTAATATTCCATTGTATATATATATCTATACACCTAATTTTCTTTATTCACTCATTCATCGATGGATACCTAGGTTGTTTCCATATCTTAGCTATTGTAAATAATGCCTCAGTGAACAAGGGGATATGGATATCTTTTTGGGTTAGTGTTTTTATTTTCTTCGGATAAATACCCGGAAGTGGAATTGCTGGCTCATTATTCTACTTTTCACCATCTGAAATAACCTTGTTGATGGAATATTTACTTGTTTATTTTCTACCTTCTTCTTCTAGAATATAAACTCAAGGAGCTAAACTGCAATATATTATTTACTGCTATATCGCCAACATCTAGAAGCATGTCTAGCATTTAGTAGCTGCTAAAAATATTATATTGTATGAATGGATGAATGAATTAACAAAAAAAAAATTCCTCTTTATTCCAGATCGGCGTGTCCCAAGTTGTGAATTTTACACGCTGGCTGGAGAGTGTAGGGAGGGAGATGTAAATTATGTCAGAATTCTCCTTGTTCAGTTCAACTCAATTCAATCCAGCACATACTTATTGAATTTCTATTATGCACCAGGTAGGGAACCTCACACTCAGGATTCAGCAGAGAACAGTTCGAGTTCTACCCTCCTGCCACTTAGAGGAAGTTAGACACTTAACAGCAATTATCAAAGTAATTGAATGGCACTTACTTTGTGCCATGCAGAATTCTAAGAACTTTAGCGAATCACCTAATTTAATCCCCACCACAGCCCTATATGTTAGGAATGATAATTACACCAAAAAAGAGGGCAGGCATTTTATCTATCTTGTTTACTATTGATTCCCTAACGCCATCTTCAGTGCCTGACATACGTAGATGCTCAATAAAAATATTCAACAAAGAATGAGTATTTTGAAAGGGGAGGATGGTATTTCAGAATCCACAGCAGGGGGATTTGACCCAGTCTAAAGCATTAAGAAACCACTCCCTGAAAATGTGACATTCTATTTAAGACTTGAAGAATGAATAGGAATTTGCTTTGCTTTGACTTGAGAGTGAAACTTGGGCAGGCTCATCCTGACTGATCTTAAATAAACTAATTTTTTTTCCTGGGATTTAGTTTCCTTTTTAGGAAAATGAAAAACTGTAAAGATGAAACTTCCCCCAAAGGAGGTTGTAAGAATGTGCTAAAAGAGAATTATCAGGATGACTTTCCCATAAGAGTTGGGCTTCAATGAGAGTAGGCAACACAGCCAGCATCTGTGAGAATGGACCATTGGGAGGACCCCAAGTCCACTGGTCCCAAGGCAAGGGCTCCAGCTGGACTTTGAAGGACAGAAGTGATTGCTTCTGATCTCCCAGGAGGTCGTCTAAAGAAATGCTTGGAGCAGCCTGGTCCGTAGTGCAACACTCAAGAATCTCCCAATTGATCGCTTTTTTTGCCATTTGATCTCAGGACCTGGCATGTGGAAGGTATCTGGGGAATTTCCTGTCTCTGGTCTCTGCTCTACCAGACTCCAGGGGTCCTCTCACCTAATATGGATCACCTTTATCTTTTCCTCCTTCTAGGTTCCTGGTTTCCCTTTCAGACCCCCTTCCGCCCTTGGGCCTCCCTCGAGGCACCTCCACCATTGCCTTAGAGCCTCCCCTCTCCTTATAAAGACTCTGTTCCTCCCCCAGTGGCCCTGTTCTCATCTGCGACAACACAGGTATATCAGAGCTGAATTCCACTTATGGAGTTAATGACTGCTAACTGTTCATTTGCTATGCCTCCCAGTAAGATAATTGCCTTTTAACAGGAAATTTTGGAAAAAATGCCTAATGCAAAAGCAAGAATCTCTAACATTGACCATCTGGGGCTCTATAATCCCAAAGAATCTTTTCAGAATCTCTTCTTGCTGTCGTAGCCCCCGTGATTAACACATAATATATTGTACACTAAAATACATAATAGTGTATTTGTCCTTCTTTTCTCTGGAAAGCACACTCCTTTAGAGCAGGGAACATATCTAATATCCTGTATCCCCATCGCTCAGCCTAGTTCCTGATATATTGTCAGAGTATCAGCAAATTGTGGATAAGTATGTTAGGGCGAATGATTTAGGACAAGGGTGTTTGGAAAACTTTGTTACCCTGACCCTTCAAGACAAAGCACAAAATTAAATACCTTACTGTAGAGACGCTTAAACTTTAAAATAAGAAGCACTTGGCATGTTAAATATGCAGGTTCATTGTCTGTCCCCAGAGAGTCTGAATCAATAGACTTGAGGGCTGTGAAACCTGTATTCTTCACAAGTTCACCAAGTGATTCTGGTGCAAAACACTGGATCTCCTTAGGGGGTGTTTGTCTTTGGATATATTGTTATACCCTCTCAGTTTTCTGTAAAATGGGGTTGTTCAGAGAATCAAAGAGAAAAAAGACATGAAAACACACTGAAGCAGTTCAAATGGTGCAGAGCAAACTACCTGCGTCAGAATCACCTGTTGGAGGAAATTTCACGTTTGTTCTTTCTGACCCTTGCCCATTCTGCATGTGGGTACGAAGGGTATCTAGGCCTGGCACTAAACCAGTCATTTTAAACTGAGATTGTAGAAGATGTTGTCAGTTGAGGTCAAGAGGTACTGGGTGGTTTGGAGTGGTGCATTTGGAAATTGGTTGCTAGCCCCATTGACCTTGTTTTTAATGGAGGAGACAGTTGGGTTCTTTTCCATGGATTTTTAAAAACTTTTGTTTGTTTGGTTCTTCGAGGATAACTATGGTAGCAGCATCGATGAGTAGTTTTTCACTCAGGAAGTACTTACTGAGTGCCTACCATTGACTCAGAAGGTATTTACTAAATGCCTACTGTTTATCTAAGACTGAAATATGCAAAGTTAAAAAATATCTATTCATGAATTCCGTGATATCTTTGCTTGAGTGATACATTCCAGCTTTATGATGGGCTCAAATTCGCTTCGTTTGTGCCATGAAGGACCTCTACACAAAAAGTATAAAACATTTTTCTGAAGCTTTCTCCATATATATTGATTCATCCATTCATTCATTCATTTACTCACTCAGCTAACAGTTATTGAGTACCACCCTTGTGCCAGGCACTGGTGAGGCACGGGGGGTACAAAGATGAATTAGACATTGATATCTCCCTCAAGAAGTATACAATTTCATAGTTTAGACAAGATGGGTAAGTAAAGATAATTAAGAGACTGTGATGGTAATTAAGGGCTGATATTACTGTTATAAATAACAGCAATTAAACTTATAAGGCACTTATATTGTGCTAAGCAGTGTGCTAAACCCTTCAGATCAACTATCCTATATGGCCCTCACAATCTTGTGTGAGATTCTATTATTATCCTTATTAGATAGGTAATGAAGCTTAGAGATGTTAAGTAAATTTCCCAAGATCACATAGTAAGTCAACTCCAAAGGCAGGCTTAGCCTTGGCTGTCTAATTATAGCACCACCCCTCTTAACCACACTCGTTCTTGCACTGCTCTTAGGTTGGTATATGGCTGTAGAAATTCAGAGAAGGCCAATAAAAGTAAGAGCAATATTGGCAGTGACAGATTATCAAGTATCTACAATGTGCCAGGTGCTTCATGTGCTTATTGTCTCACTTCATCCAAGAATACACAAGGAAAAGCTTGTTGTTTTTCCCATTCTATCAATGCAGAAAACTAAGGCACATGTATGTTAAAATTTTGATCATTTCTACCCAACTGGTAAATGAATGCACCGGGATTCAAACTTGGGTCATATTGAGCCCAGAGCCCGCACTCCTTCCACTCGAACTCACTCCTGATCCAAGGTAGATGGGCAGTCTCTCTCAGGAAGACACCTCTGGATATGCTCTTCTGTCATGAGTTCGAGATTACCCACACAACCAAACCAGACCATTTAGGCATTGTTTACACAGCACCTTACTTGAGATGGCCTGACCTTGCCAGGTCTCTGGGTTTAAGGAAGTGATGGGTTATATGATTATTGAAGGGCTAAATGTCCTGTCCCTGCCAGTAGTTTGTCATCATGTTGCAATGGCCCAGAAGTCAGAGAGCGTATTGGTGGAAGAGTCAGTTTACATTATCATGGCCTGGACTGACACTATCATTACTTCATGGCTCTAAGTCTTTGATTTCGTGGGCAGACCAACACATTCCTCCCGTGCTAAGTTAAGTCTTTTTGTAAAGAGGATAGCCTATAAGGCTTAAAAATTATTCTATCAGATTTCAAGGCACACTTTTATATTAAATCTTATTTTTTAAAATCGCACTCAGGGGAATATTGGTTTTCTTTTATAGAGCATTTAAATCATTTTCTTGTGCCTCCAAATGCAGCATAAAAGACATTCGCCTCTTTTTCTTCGTCATATACAATAGGGTCTTTGACAGAACTTATAAATCCCAAACTGATGCCTTGTGCTTGCCTTCCAGTGATGAAATTTCCAAAGTCGTTACTATTTCATGGGTCACAACTAAACCAGGTCCCCAATTCAGATTACTTGTATTTGGTGATCGGTCATGTCCTTTAACATTCTCATTCTCTCTCTCTCTCATTTGAAATCTCAGTGAGAGTTTTGGTAAAGTTGTACTGTCCTTGCATCAACTTCCTTTTTCCACGTTTTCACGCGCCGTTCGCATTGGTGAAGGGTCGTTTCCCTCGGGTTTAGTCTCTATTCTTGCATTGTGGCTTTAAATTTGTACAGCAAATAACTCAGAACCAAGTTATTGCCTTGGTGTCAGTGCTGGCAGGAAAAAAAAAAAGCCATAGTGGAGCACAGAATCTGTCTGTGTTAGCGCTCTGTCACCGACTACTCAACCCAGCTTTTGGCTTCACCTAAATGATAAATGGTCCTATTGTTTGGGCTTTCGTGTTAAAAAAAAATAGAACTAAATCTAGATTAAGCAAGGACAGAGACCCATTTCATTGCACTGTACTTTAATATTCCTGAGACCCATGGCGTTACGGGTGGCTCCTTTTACCAGCCGTCTCTCTCCAGGGCGGAACACTATGCTGCTTTGTTTCATCTGATCTTTCAGCTAAATAAGAGATGGTCACTCATCCTCACTACTCCCATCTCCTGCTGGATTTCTATTGCTAAAAGAGAAACTGACCACACGGGAAAAGGTAGAGGTTTCAGGCAGGGCATTCCAGCGTGTGTTTACAGGCAGGACTGACTTACTCAGCAAATCCTGCTCGGAGGAGCTGCAGCCAATGAAGAGGCTATATCCCGGCTTGCTTGGGGGCTTCTGAGTTTGAGCTGCATGCAGAAATGTAAGGCAGTGCTTCCTGGCGCTGATGGCAAAATGGGACCCATCTCCAGTTATTCCTCGGGCTTCCCAGCTTTGCAGATCTGGGAGAGAACCTACATAAACATATTGGTGATGTAGCCAGCTTTAAAGGCCGAGAGAATCCTTATGGATTCAGGAGACTGGTTTTTTATTTAGATTTTCATTTTTTATTTTTTTTGGAAGATGAAATGCTTCTCTCGTTACCTGCCTTACATCTTCAGACCTCCGAATACCATCCTCTCTTCCAGCTGCCACACGGAAGGTACAGACCAGAGAGGGAGAGTGTCTGGGCGGGTGGGAAAAAGTGGGCTGGTGTATGACTTCTCAGGCTCTGCTGATGCTGCTTTCTGTAGCTGGTAGATGACTGTCGTTCCTGGCAAAAGCTTGCATCTGACAGACTTAGATCAGCTTCTAAAATCAGTCTGTCTTCTACAAGGAAAGGGAAGTATTTTCTGAAGAGCAGGAAAATGTTGCAAAGGTGATCTCAAAGCTGAGACAGCTGATTAGAAAAAAATTCAAAAATATTTTGCCAATTTTTCTTGATCTACCCAACATGCAGACAAGTAACTGGAACTAATGTTAAGGAAAAAATTCTCAGTAGCTGCTGCCACAGACCTTTCTCCAAGCTCTCTGTTTTGTCACTGTCTGTTTAATAACTTGGTGCATACCCAAGAAAGCAATTAGCAAAATAGAATTAGCTTACTACATGACTGTGGAGTGTCGATTGTCGGATTGATTTGCTCGGAGTCTGGACTTGGGTTGCAGAACAGGAAGAACACAGCTGACTTTCAGCACTTGCTGGAAATGTGGTTTGTGGGGGTCCTAAGTTAACGCCTTAAGGAGAGGGTGAGCTCAGCCTTGTACAAATAGTCCCCCATTGGTCCTTTTCAGGACCACCTCTGCTGCCTTCTAACCTAACATGATATCCATTCGTGTGTGTACTTTCTGTGTGCACGTGTGTGTGCCTTGTAAACATTCTGGCCATTCACCTTCAACTAAGCACCGCAGGTTTCAACATTTCTAAAGTCGGTAGCTGGTCATAATCTTCTGTGTGTGATTTGCCTGTTTCTTTTGATCTGACACATTCTTGAAAAAGAGCAATTTCAAGAAAAGCAACTAGGGGTCCAGCTCAGGGCATAGTGGTTGGGTTCGCACCCTCTGCTTCTGTGGCCCAGGGTTCACAGGTTTGGATCCCGGGCGTGGACCTACCCACTGCTCATCAAGCCATGCTGTGGTGGCATCCCTCATAAAAAAGTGTAGGAAGATTGGGGCAGATGTTAGCTCAGAGCCAATCTTCCTCAGGCAGGGTGAGGGGTAGGGGAAAGGGGAAAAAAGAAAAGCAACTGGCAGGCTGCTTTTCAGCTTTAGAGGTTGTCCTAAAAGCGGTACTTGACTGAAGAGGCTGAGGGTGGTAAGGAGCTGTGACTCTGCTTCAGGTCCAGCCACACTCTTCTGGAACTGAGCTGGTGAGCAGGCTGTTCTGAAAACCCACCCTTGTTCCTCGTCCTCAGAGTAGGAGCCTGGGATTGGAGGCTGTGTATATGAAATGAGAGAAGCATGTGTTATGTCATAGGTGGTTTTCAATCAGTACTGACAGAAAAAGGGAGTAGAAATTTGGGATCACTTTTGAATTGAGACTGAGGATGGTAATTTTCATAGACATTGATACTTCATAGATTTTTTTCAATTGGAGATTTCCTTTACAAATTTATTGGTAGCTAAAGAAGATGACCCATTGAGAAATCTTTCCTCCCTCATGGAGAGAAACCTAGTAAGGCCCTAGATACTGGGGAAGGTGAGGGGTAGCATGGATGGAAATTTCCAGGGGAACTTTCCAAATACAAAAGATCTAAATTCATATAGGAAGTTGTCTAGATGACTTTTCTATTTATGATTTGTTCCCCATCCTGTCCTCCAGCTTAGACTTTGAGAACTCAAACACTTGGTCTATTCAGTTGCTGTTTTGTATATTAATCAAATTAAACATTCTACCTCATATAGACAAAAACAATAAGAACTTTCTTGAACTGTTTTTTAATCAAATTTAACTGATTCATTCTATCAAAATGGAAATCCCATTTTGTTCATGTCAAAACAACCTCTGATTCACCAACTATCATCAGATTTAGAAGTGGGAGGTGGGGAGACATGTCTTTAAATTTGTCATAAACCTAATAAAGACAATGGGTGGGGATAATAGCATCTGTCAAATGTTAACATGGATGAGGCTCTGGTTCGTAGTGGAAAGAACATGAGTTAAATAAATACCAAGCAACCGGGGTCAAGACACCTAGTTGCTTTATGCCCCAGTTTTATCAATAAGTGGAAATGAAAAGACCTACTCCCAAGATGTTGAGAATTAAATGTGAAGTTCTTCCTAAAGCTTGGTACGTGATAGGTACTATCCGTTTTTGAGTCCCAGGCCCCATGCACTTTCTTAGACATTCAAGTTTTCTTTATTTATTCCATTATCTTAAGCAATGAGTGGTTTCTTCAAACACATCACTGTGTCACCAGAAACCAGTTACACTTATTTAGAGTTTGTCTGAGGAGAAAAACATGTCAGAATGAAGTTGACTTTGTGTTTTTCTTTTTATATTGTCAGTAATCATGTCACCCTGTAGTCTATTCTGGAAAAGTTATGGCTGTGAACTTCATATTTTATTTACTTGAAAAAGCAGAGAAGGAATAATTTGTGCATATCTCTGTGAAAGTCAGATAAATACAAACGACCCAAACAATCCCCTCAGGGGTAATTCTAGACCAACTTTAAGAGCTTCAACAATTCCTAAGCATCTTAGCGGATGGGACATCCTACTTAAAAGACTTGGGTTGTCCTCCCACCTTTGTTTGCACATTGTTTTCTCAGCACAGGAAGATCATGGGCTTTGAATGCCAGCCCTGCCACATGCCAACTGGGTGATGTTCAGTAGTTATTTAACCTCTCTGACCCTTGGTTTCCTCATCTGTAAAACATGGGTAATGTTACGCCCTAGAATGGTTGCAAAGAAATACATTCAGAATGCCATACACAGGGTGATAATAATAGGAGTAGCAAATAGTAATAGTAATAATAATCAGCCTTCACTTGTACTTACTATGTCTAAGACATTAAGCACATTATGTACAGTAACACATTTGTACACAGAGTAAACGAACGTGTGGTCCACAAGTATTAGTTCCTTTTCCTTCCCTCTCTCACTCTCAGTCCTCAAGCCTGTTTCTTTATCCATCAGACAGAGATTTGGTTCTCCATCTTGCAGTCAAAATAATTTTGTAAAATATGATTGTGTAACCACTCCACCCCGTCAAACGCAAACACATTTGCATTTAAAACCTCTCAAAGGCTTCCCATGCTTTACCAGGGCCTTCATATTCTGACTCATGCCTGACTCCCCTGCCTGATCCCAAACACACTCCATCTTTCCTGGTCTCCGGCCACACACGTCTTCTTTGATTTCTCAGTATTCTCCCTTCAACCACAAACTTTTGGGATGCTTCTTTCTCCCCTCGGCCCCGTTCCTTATTAATTCTAGCCTTCAACTCTCAGCTCAAGCTGAGAAACCATCCTTGACCCTCAGCTGGTCATAGCTCTTAAAGAACTGGGTTGCTTTACTTCAGAGCACCTGTCATAGTTTGCCATTGTGACCGGACTGATGTAACTCTTTTAACTGTTACATCTGATGTAACTGTTAATACCTGGCCCCCTTCTAGACTGAAGGGAGCAGGACCCTTTGTGGGAGCAAAACCCACAGGTAGTTTGGTCTCTGTTGTACCCCCAACACCAGAACAATGCCCAGTACATAATAGGCACTCAATACGTTTTTGTTGAATGAAAAGATGACAAATACCCAGGCTGTTGCACAGATAAGGTTTAAGAACATACGTGAAAACATTCTTCAAAGCATTAACTCCACATGAATGCGAGTCATTTTAACCATTGCCGGTTGGGGAGCTTTCTGAGGCCATACTTGAGGGGACTGGTTTTATTACCATGCTCTACTTTAACGTGAAATAAGAAGATACAAACAGGAAAAAAAGGCAATTAAATAACACTGATGCACAAACAGGGTTTTGAGAAGACAATTGGACTCTCTTCCCTTCTCTGTGGACCTCATTAAGACAGCACATAACTCCCTCCCCTGTGGTAGGGAAGGATTCATCCAGCAAGATCGTTTCAGGATTAAGGAACAAAATCCCAGTCACGGTCAGAAAGAAGCCATTCCAGACAGGACAGAGGGGACAGGGAGGCCCACAGGGATGAGAGAGCTGGTCAAGTATGAGGAACTTTGCCGATGTTTGCTGGTGGATCTAATTTGGCACCCAACACGGGAGGGCCTTTTTTAGGGGCTAACAAATGAGTAGAGGCGCTTTCTTTTCCTAAAGGGACAGCAGTAATGTGCCTTGCCATGTGCCATTTCCTTCTCCTGAGTTGTCTCATCACATTTCCATGCAGCAAGCCCCTGCTCATCCCTTAAAACTCAGCTCAAGGCAAGCCTTTCTAGGAAGACTTCCTCAACAACTCCAAAGATGGAGTTGTTATTATGAGTCACAAAAACCGCAATAATAGTGGGAAGAAGAAATGAGAAGGAGAAGCTGAACAGTACCACAAGGCCTGTGGATCACTGGCTGTGGGTTGAGGGCTGTGCATGGATAATCTCATTTGCTCCTCACACAATCTCTTGTATCAGAGGCTGTTATCTCCATGTTATAGGTGAGGAAACTGACACACACCTGACTTACCCAGAGCCACGGTTAGGAAAGTGGCAGAGTCGAGACTCAAGTCTAAACCACCTGAATCAAAAATCAGTGCTCTTAACCTTTACATTGCACATTTCCTTCTGAGCATCAGTGTGAGAACAGCCTTCCGATTGTATTGAAACGATCTATTTACACGTCTGTCTCCTGAGAGCCAGTAGCAGCTCGGGCACAGGGGTTCTACCCTTTCCATCTGCAGTCTCTGCATCCTGGTTAGCACAGAACTGGACTCTGATTAGACGCTCAAGAAATTCTTGGGGGCCAGCCTGGTGGCGCAGCGGTTAAGTGCTCATGTTCCTCTTCAGCGGCTAGGGGTTCGCCAGTTCAGATCCTGGGTGCAGACATGGCACCGTTTGGCAGAAGCCATGCTGTGGTAGGTGTCCCACTTATAAAGTAGAGGAAGATGGGCATGGATGTTAGCTCAGGGCCGGTCTTCTTTGGCAAAAAGAGGAGGACTGGCAGCAGTTAGCTCAGGGCTAATCTTCCTCAAAAACAAAACAAAAA